TGGGGGGGGGGGGGGAAAGGAGGAGGGAACAAATACATCTAATGAATAATTAAATGTAGAAATAGACATATACAAGCAATTTTCTGCATTGAAGCTATTGCTCTTTACAGAATATCCCTGCATATAATCTGGAAACCAAGTGGGTTGGGGGAAAGGGTTAAACAGGTGATTTTCCTCCTGAGCAAGGGGTCGTAAGAAATGAGGACCCTTCAGATGTGTTAATTCTCTTGGGCTAATACAGTGGTTCAGCCAATATTTTCATTCATGCAAATAACTTTCATGACAGAAAAAAAGAATTATGACACCACAGAATTTAATATATGATACCCTACTGGTTTATCTCCAAAGGCCTGGAGGATGTACATGTCTCAACTTGTGTAATTTTAAAATTCATAAAATGGCTGAACACTACATTTGATGGACTATTTATTTCTTTATAAATAAAACCAACGATCTGATACGACATCTTTGTCCCTGTGAAGTCTGGAATTATCTACACAAATTGCTTAAGCACTTAAGCACTTAACCACACTAAACTTTTAAAAATTTTTAACGGGTCTCTTATATTAAAAAATACACCAGCCCCCCAAAATGAATTTTTGTTTACCCTGCTATTTTTATAGCAACAGAAGACATTGTCTTCTTCACAGTTAGACCAGTGGTCTGCTAGGTCAGGAGTGACCTGGTTCACCTCACCCATGAAGTCATTCTGTGGTTTGCTTTGGGATTAAGGTGTTGTGTAAACCCAGCCAAATATAATTTAAGACAGTTAAACAAATGATGGTGAAACATAATAAGTGAATCCAGCCACATTCAGATGGTGGTTCTCCAGAGTCTATTAGAACTGACAGGGATTGATCTAGGATCTTTCCAAGCAAAGCATGTTTTGTACCACTGGACTGTGTTCCTTTTGAACTAAGAGTGGATTCCAGACTGTGAACCTGGAGGATTTAATGCATTAGGTTAGTTAACAGGGTGCAGTAAACTTAGAACAAAACGTAATTCCGGTGCAGTGCTTCCCATTTGAGACAAACTCAAATTTATTAGCTTGATGAAGACTTCTGTTTGAAAGCCTGCTGTAGCAACTGATACGTGGAGAGTTCAGAGCAGCAATCAAAGGAAGACAAAGATTATTGATTTTTAGCATCAAGTAGCTTGACTTCAAGCCAGCAGAAGAAACAATCAGGCAGAAACAGTTCAGACCTTGAAGCTTAAAGAAGCAAGAAGCATTGAGTATCAGCTGATCAGAAAAAACATACATTGCTTTCTCTTTAGAAGTTATTTAGCAGAATAGTCCCAAGCGGGCAGACGGGGAGAGGGCGGCATAGCTCCTGACAGCAACAAGATTGGCCCAGTGAAACAGAAGATTGAAGAAAGCACTCATTCATCTTTTTATACAGGTAATCCCCAGTTTTAGTTCCATTCCCAAGGTCTGTCCTTAAGTTGAATTTGTATGTAACTCGGAACAT